CACCTTAAGACCCTTCCATCTATGAAGAGTATTTGATTCTACCATATCTGGGTCTTGAGAAGAAGATTTTTGAAATTTCAGTCAATTCAACCCTTTTTGGCCCCTCCCATCAGCCCCAGGGGGTCAGTCAGGGCTGATATGTGCATACCATCAAACTGCTATCCAATACAGATAATGCTTACCCAAATTAAATTACTTCCAATTAAACAAATGTTAGTCCAAAATGTGATTTCCCTATATAAACTATAGTAAAGTTTACCCCCTCCCCAGGGGGAAACGTGAGACCCCAGGGTCAAGAAATTCACAATTTTAGTAAAGCACCTTAAGACCCTTCTATCTATGAAGCAATTTTGATTCTACCATATCTGGATCTTGAGAAGAAGATTTTTGAAATTTCAGTCAATTCCACCCTTTTTGGCCCCGCCCCTCAGGCCCCTGAGGGCTGGGGACCATATAATTCACAATCTTAGTTGACCTTTGGCTATGGAAGGTTTCTGCAAAATTTCATTGAAATTGGTTCAGGGGTTTTGGCGAAGAAGTTGAAAATGTAAATTGTTTACGGACGCACGACGGACGCCGCCGGACAAAAGGCGATCGCAAAATCTAAAAGAGAACAAGAAGCCCAAAGGGCCTGTATTGCTCACCTGGAAAATAAAGCAACCATGGGAAAATATTTTCATTACATAAAATCCTGCCAATGGTACAGAGGAAGAAAGATTTTAAGGATTTAAACCTCAAATTTCCCTATTGAGCCCTGCAGTTTTCAGCACCCAGAGGGGCCTCACCCTTTGTTTATACAAAATTTAGTCCCCTTTGCCCAAGGATGCTTCAAGCCAAATTAGGTTAAAATCCCTGAACTCCTACCTTATAACTTCGCAACTCTGCCCACAGGGGCTCCAAACGCATCGTTTATACAAAACTGAGTCAGCTTGGCCCAAGCATGCTCCAGACAAAACTGAGTCACCTTGGCCCAAGCATGCTCCAGACAAAATTGGGATGAAATCCCCTAATCCCTATGGTAGAAGAAGGATACTCAAGGTTTTACCTCTATTTCCCCTTTTCGGAACCCACCCCTCTGTCCTGAGGGGGCCAGACCCACCGTTTATACAACATTGAATCCCCTTGGCCCATGGATGCTCCAGACCAAATTGTAATGAAATCCCTTATCTCTATGGTAAAAGTCTTGCCATTTGTCACGATATGACCAAAAGACAATGTTCCAAGGGGTGGGGCAAAACCCCAAGGTTAATCATGGGACAATGTTCCAGGGGTGGGTCAAAACCCCAGGGTCAATCATGGGACAATGTTCCCAGGGATTGGGTAAGACCGCAGAGTTAATCATATGACCATATTTTTATTGAAAACTTCATGCTCTGCAGTTGTATGCTGTTTCAATTTTATGACACGGTGAGTAGGGAGGGGGAGTTAGCCCCTTCTTTTGTACATTTTTTGTTATTATCACATTGGAACGCTTTCCAAAACATATGACCGATATCCATGGCAGTTCCTCCTGGGAGGTTGCTTTAAGCACTATGGCCAATATACCACCCGGCTTGTGTCCCTACCCTCAGCCTCCTGGTGAGCTGGTAACCCTTTCATTTGTATAATGTTTGCTTTAAGCAATATGGCCAATATACCACCATGCTTGTGTCCCTACCCTCAGCCTCCTGGTGAGGTAACCCTTTCATTTGTATGTTTAATCACTAACAGCTTATCCAATTAAATTGGGTCAAACATTGGTGGAGAAGCAGAAATTGTTTAAGGAATAATTGACAGACAGACCACAAATGCTGATGCAAGACATAAGCTCATAACTCTCTGACCAGCTGGTAATATACTGGTAAGCTGAAAAACATGTGTCATTGCCTAAGTAAAAAAAAACAGATTGTATTTGGCCTGGGAAGTTTTTAAACTTCTGTTCAGTAAAAAGAATATCAGTAAAATATGAACCTGAAAATCACAACAGATATATTACAAAATTTGTATATTTTATTGATTATTGTACTGTACCTATTTTAGTAATTACTGTACCTATTTTAGAACCTATTTTGGTAATTACAGTACCTATTTTGGTAATTACTGTACCTATTTTGGTAATTATTGTTACTATTTTGGTAATTACAGTACCTATTTTGGTAATTACTGTACCTATTTTGGTAATTACTGTTCCTATTTTGGTAATTGCTGTACCTGTTTTGGTAATTACTGTTCCTATTTTGGTAATTGCTGTACCTGTTTTGGTAATTACTGTTCCTATTTTGGTAATTGCTGTACCTATTTTGGTAATTACTGTACCTGTTTTGGTAATTACTGTTCCTATTTTGGTAATTACTGTACCTATTTTGGTAATTACTGTACCTATTTTGGTAATTACTGTACCTATTTTGGTAATTACTGTACCTATTTTGGTAATTACTGTACCTATTTTGGTAATTACTGTACCTATTTTGGTAATTACTGTACCTATTTTGGTAATTACTGTACCTATTTTGGTAATTACTGTACCTATTTTGGTAATTACTGTACCTATTTTGGTAATTACTGTACCTATTTTGGTAATTACTGTACCTATTTTGGTAATTACTGTACCTATTTTGGTAATTACTGTACCTATTTTGGTAATTACTGTACCTATTTTGGTAATTACTGTACCTATTTTGGTAATTACTGTACCTATTTTGGTAATTACTGTACCTATTTTGGTAATTACTGTACCTATTTTGGTAATTACTGTACCTATTTTGGTAATTACTGTACCTATTTTGGTAATTACTGTACCTATTTTGGTAATTGCTGTACCTATTTTGGTAATTACTGTACCTGTTTTGGTAATTACTGTTCCTATTTTGGTAATTACTGTACCTATTTTGGTAATTACTGTACCTATTTTGGTAATTACTGTACCTATTTTGGTAATTACTGTACCTATTTTGGTAATTACTGTACCTATTTTGGTAATTACTGTACCTATTTTGGTAATTACTGTACCTATTTTGGTAATTACTGTACCTATTTTGGTAATTACTGTACCTATTTTGGTAATTACTGTACCTATTTTGGTAATTACTGTACCTGTTTTGGTAATTACTGTACCTATTTTGGTAATTACTGTACCTATTTTAGTAATTACTGTACCTATTTTGGTAATTACTGTACCTATTTTGGTAATTACTGTACCTATTTTAGTAATTACTGTACCTATTTTAGTAATTACTGTACCTATTTTGGTAATTACTGTACCTATTTTGGTAATTACTGTACCTATTTTAGTAATTACTGTACCTATTTTAGTAATTACTGTACCTATTTTCACTGGGAATCCTTCAGGCAACTTTGAAGTCATAAAATCCCTGAGTTTCTGAAATTGTTTGAATGGTGCTATTACTTCAAGGACATCCAGCAAACTGCAAACCAAATACACAAACTTTAAACGTAATACATGATATGGATTTAACCAAATACACAAACTTTTACCGTAATACATGATATGGATTATCATTTCTGAAAAACTAACATGTATGATGGATTTTCACGACCAGTAATGAGGCAGAATTCCAAAATTTAGAAGGAGATGTACACATTAATTCCCGACTTTCAATCCTCATACTATTTTTAGACCCCATTTAAAATCCAACACAAGTTTCCTGCCCTCTGGACCAGATCTTACATCATTGTTTCTATAAATACTTCAACTTTTATCATATAAAGTATTTATTTTAATACTTACACACTAACATCCATAGGGAATGCTTTGCTCTGAAAACAATAAGAAGATATAATTATCTGACATTATTTGACAATGATATGATGAACTTAAGAGAAATGATATACATGTTCCTAGAATGCTTCTAATGATAGATTTTAAAAAAGGCGTTTGATTCTGTTTGATGGAAATTTATAGATAAAACACTTTAGCATACATTTTAAATGCCTAAATTAAATTAAACTTTGATGAAAACTGATTAAGATTAAATCTCTAATTAAGACTTGGACCAGAAGAATTTTAACCCCTACTGGTAAAATTCATATTATTAAATCTCTTTAATCCCATAATTTAATCACTTATTCATCACATTGCCAAATCCAAATGGTGCCTCTTTATTATTAAATTCAACAATATTTTATTTAACTTTCAATGGAATGGCAAAACAGATATGATAAAGAGGAATTCTTTTATTATAATGTGTGTGTGTGTGGGGGGGGAGGGGTTAAAAATGATTAACACTCAAGATTTTATAGATTTTATAGAAGATTTTTTCAAAGTTCTAGCAAGTGACAAGTAATATTCAAGAGTCTTTTTAACATGAACATTTTACTATGAACTGTGGAAGCAATTACATATATAAGTGACAAAACATTTTTGGTCAGATGTGTTTAAAGCTTGGAAAAGATTGAACAATTCTAATGTTATGAAGGTGAATCAAAGAGGACAACTTTCACTTCCTAAACCCCGCTATGGTACAACCCACATTTGGTCATTGATCTGTTATTGATAAAGACTGGTATTCTAGGGTGTAAGAGTAGTAAACCCCCGCTATGGTACAACCCACATCTGGTCATTGATCTGTTATTGATAAAGACTGGTATTCTAGGGTGTAAGAGTAGTAAACCCCCGCTATTGTACAACCCACAACTGGTCATTGATCTGTTATTTATAAAGACTGGTATTCTAAGGGTGTAAGAGTAGTAAATGACATATTTAAAGATGTTAGCTCTCTCACTTTCTTCTCTTATCAGGAACTCACAAGGAAATATAATATTTTTTTAAATGTCAAGGTACATTTAATACTTTTAGAACTAATATTGAAATACACAGGTTTCAGAGTACAAAGCTTCTTCTCCCTTTTATTCCTTTAAACTTAGAATTATTAATCAAAAAGGCTAAAGGAGTAAAAGGCATGGATGAAATTCTCTCCAAGAATAAGGAAATTCAAACAGGCAGGAATTCAAACTTCAGTGATTTTAATTTAGAATTCTTCATAACATTTTGACAACAAATTCACATTTATTCAAAGCAAACCTAGTAACAGGCCTGTTGTGTACACTCTACAGCTCAGAGAGAGAAACAATTACTATAATTATACTGCGGGAATGTCAAGAAATTCAAAATTTACTACAGAGTCTGGATACACTTATAAATGCACTTTTAATTCCATTCACAGTCAAGAAAGAATCCTTTATTTCTCGAACATGGTCACATAGTAACAAGTATATGAAAATTGATAATGAAATTAACATTATCATTAAACAATACATTTACAAAACAAGATGTTTACATAACTCTCTCAAAGTGCACTTAGTTGTACCGGTATATACATAAATACTGAAAAAAAACACTCTTTTCTTGATTAATTCAACTCCAAAATTTTCTGGAGTTTTTCTTTAAAGATATTATTTGTTTTAAGAAGGGGAAATCAAGCAACAAATTTAGAGGTTTGCAAGATTATTTTTTACAGGAATTCCTACCATTGCTACTGTAGCCTTGAAAGACTTGGAGCTTCCCTTAGGGATCCACTGTCGGCCCAGACATGGAGGTTTACCGACTGGGGCAGACATGTAGTCCTCCCAACTAACATTTGGCCTTTCAGGTGGATTCAGCGATGGGCGCCTCTGAAACTAAAACCATATATGTATTCTTATAATGAACAATTCTTTAGATGTTATTTGAGCTCTTAATATTACTACCTGAAACATTTGAGAGTGTTAGAAATATGTGTCAGTGGTGAGACTTTCAACGCCTAAAGATTTTTAAATCTTGTATCAAATGGGAAAACAGGGGTTAGTAATCTGGAGTGTGACCATAGTCACATAAGGAAGTTGTCGTATGCATGGAATATTCAAAGAAAGTGTTTTTCTCCTGCCCACACAACTCCAACAACCCAGGTGGAGTATAAAATGGTCTGGGGTGGATGTTGCAGTATCTGTGCTGTAGCATTCAAGTGAGGTAAGCAAGGTCCCACTACAAACAGAACACAATACATCTCATTACCCAGGACGAGTTGCGCAACATTATCATGACCTCGCAATCGAAGTCCT